TATTCAGACTCAAGAGAAGATAGCTGAAATTCCTTGGGCATGTAATGAGGAAGGAGGGCTTAGAAGACTTACCCTCAACATGTCAAGTGAGAGTTAAGAAAGATAGGGGAAAGCACTGAGCAACCTATCTGACAAGCTTGTGTAAATGGATAGCAGAACTGGGGGTGTGTAGCAAGGGAGGAAAACTGCTAAGAGCCACAATGAATAGGAAGTTGTGGAGAACAATGATTCACCTATGTCCTGAAGGGATGCCAAACAGAAGAAGCAAAAATGTTGGTTTCTATAGGAAGATATAACATATATGATGATATTCTGTTGGCATCAGACTGTTCTACAAAGTTGGTTTAAAGAAAATCTTTTGAACATTAAAATGTGTTACTTTTAAACTTCCCAGCTTGTATTTCATTCATTTAGATTCTAGATTAGTTGAAATGTAAATTTTCCTTTTAAGTTACATTTAATCTGAAGTTTATAAGTGTGCAATTGTGTGAAAACTTGTTTTCATTATGTAAACATTTTGAAATATTTTTAAGCTTGTGACCTAAAAGAAGATGGTTGTAAACTTTAATGAAAAATGAGAAGAAAAGAGAAAATGTTGGTCAGTCGTATCCCTTCAGGGCATGGGCGGTCATGTCTCTGTGCAACTTCCTATCCTGTGTAGCTCTTAGCAAGTTTTGTCTTTTTACTATCCCTCCCCTTGTCTGTTTTGCAATCCATTTACACAAGCTAGTTAGGTAAATTTCTTGCTGTTTCCCTATTGTCTTCAATACATCCTGTGAGTGTAAACATTTCTAAGCCCTCCTTACTCATTATGTGTCTAGAAAAATTCCAACTGTCTCTTCCTTGTGTTATAAAGATTGTGCCCAAATAGTAGAACTTTTAGTTCTCTTAGGATTGCCTTGTAACGGTTGAATAAATCTGGTAGGAAGACACATCCTTGTCTAACGTCCCTTTCTATCTGTAGGGACCCTGATTTTCCATTTCAAATTTTTCTTGATTCTGTTTCCACTTTTGGTAAATTCTATTTTTTTTCTGTTTTTACTTTTGGGAAATTTCATTTTTTCCATTTTTATAGTATTTTATGAGAAAATTGCAATACAATATGCTATCATTATTATTAAAACTGGAAAAAAAAATATAATTCAAAGTTTTATTGCATATAAAGAAATAGCAAATATTTGCAAATCTTTTTTTAATGTTAAAATCCTAGTCCAAAAATAAATTATATGTAAAAATAAAAAATGTAACATGACTAGACATTAAAACAATGAAATGTTACTGTGCATAATTATCTTTGAAGTAGAAATTTTAATCAGAGCTTCCTTCTTTAAGAACACATTCAAATTGTTTTTGTTTTTTAAGTAAATGTATTTGGATTAATTTATAGTTATTGATTCATAATATAAAAATCACATTTAAAGTATCAACAGCAAATAACTTGAATCTCAATAATAAATATCTGAATAAAGTCAAACATTTTGACTAAAATTTTACAAAAATAAGTAATTTAGTAATTAAAGCATAATAACTGAATCTTTTTAACAAAATATCAAAAAACAAATTAGACATATTAATTTAAAATTTAAATAAAACAATTTATCCCAAGTTGAAATACTGATCAAATTTAAAATTGCTAATTTCTTAATTTTTTAAATATATAATCTTCAAATCTCTTCTCTAAATCTTCATTGTAATACAACATTGTGAGTTGTTTGCTGTTCTCAGGGGTAAAACTTTCACATTGTTTATTGAGTAAATTTTTATTGAGAAAATGAATATTCAGCATCTATTCTGGTAACAGGCATCCATATGACCATATTGGTAATCTGTTCCAGAAGAGGAAATCTGCTCTTATTTGTATTCCAAAATGATGGGATATTAAAAGGATTTGGTAAATCATCTTGGTAATTCATATACATTTGGAATTCTTCGAGAAGATCAGTAGAAGGACATTGCAAGTCCTTGATGGCTGCAAAACTGTCCAAATCATGGTCTATACAGGGTAGCTGTCTAAGATCAAACAAGTGAGCTGCCTTGTAAAAGTTATACACAGGGTAGGTATCCATGTATTTATTCAGTTTTGAAAAAGATGTACTGAAAAAATCTTGGAAATTTGAGATAACTCTCTCCCTCTCTGTGTTTTCTAGTTCAGACAGAAGCTGATCAGTTTCTAGGCCAAATGTTGATTTTTGATGTACCAGTATGTGAATACTGTTTTACGTCCTCCATCATGTTATATACAACACATGCAAGTGGAGACTTAGTTTCTTCTAAGTTTGTCAAAGCTGTAATTAAATGAGTGCAGTTTTCATTTATAAAATTCTGATTTAGGTGCAAATTATGATAAGAGGCATGATGTACTTGACCATCATCTACTAATTCTAGAATCCTATATACTATAAGGCCATGGCTGTTTTCTTGCTTATGGGTGATATTTGGCCACATTAAACCAGGAATTCCATCTGGTTGCCACTGGTACAGTCAGTAGTTTCACTTGAACCAAGCCATTTTAAGTATCACTTTTTTTTGACTAGACTTTTAAAAAAAGGCTGATTTGATGAAAGTAGTAAGCTAGGTAACATTATCAAATGCATGTCTGACTTACAGTTTGATGATTACATTCTTGCAAGGTTACAACATCAGTGAGAAATGACTCCTCATGAATGCTTGCAATTACATTCAAAAAGCTTTGATTACGATAGTTGTTTCATCTGTTATGATGCTGGCTGATTGATTAACATGCTTGGCTTTCAGTGCAGCAAAGTAACAATTTTGGTAGCTGAAGTTGCCTAACACTATTGACACTTGGATCAGCACCACCTTCTTTACAATGTTTTAATATGAATGACCTCATTTTGTCAATTTTGTGTAGGGGAATGTCAGACAAAGTGCACATTTTCAAAAAATCAAGGACAAAATTATCTTGTACCTCTTTACTCTTCAACAAAGTTGTGATTGTTTTCTGTTTTAGTTGAGCTGACTTTTTTGAAGACTTTTTTGTTAAATGAGTTTTTGATTTGATGTGATCTTTGATTGTGTCAACCTTAAAAATGTCAACACTATGGAGACAGAATTTGCAAAATAACATTTTCTTCTGCATAAAAGTCATCAGGAAATTACTCTACTCTGGCTTTATCACAAATTTTATATATGGGGGGTCTTTTTTTTTTTCTTTGAGAGAGGAGCAGCAGGCTTAACTTTTGAGGTTGATTCATTATATTGACTTGATTCAGTCATCTTGGGAATTTGTTGCTTATTCATGCAACTGGTTTAGATTACAAAATATAAATAAAATATGAAAAAATAATTAAAATAGTAAATGTTATTAAAGGATTTTTAAAAATTTTTTTGGTTCAATTTAAATTTGTTTTCAGTGGTGAAACACTGAAGATGATGCAGTTATTAATCCGGGAGAATTGCAATTGTAAACTTAAACAAGAATGATGTTTTTGGAAAATTGTTTTTCTTTACTTCTAAGTTGTATGGTAGACATGTGATAGCATTTAAAGGTAATTAATTTGTTAAACTTATTGGTTTGATCTTCATCTCTCCCCCCTCCAATTTTGACATCAAGTAATGTCCGTTTTTCATTTCACTTTAGCAATGGATCTCGGTGGCCACAACTGACTTGTTATCATCATGTTTGCAACATGCATTTTCTAAGAAAAATTTTGAAATATTTAAAAATAGACTAGCAAACATATTCTCAGAAATTCATCAACCCACTTTTCTTTTTTATGTAGACATTTGTTAATTATTTTGGGGGTTTTATAAGGAAAATAATGACAAAGATTTGTAAAAACAAATTTTAAGGAAATAACATTGTTATTGTTATATTTTATTAAAATGTTTAACAAAATCACAGAGACAGTTATTAAGTTTTGAAAAAAAATTTTAAAAATCTAATAATTTATTTATTTATTGAAAATTACATTAAAAACCCAGATTCTGTTTAAGACCATCAATTCTGTGATTCCATCCGCAATTCTGTGATCATGGAAAATTTATTCTCCTATATATGGATATAAAATATAGTAGGGAATATATAATTCTTTAAACATATTAAATTTTATTACTATAATACATATTCTTTAACTATATATACATACATACATACATACACACACACACACACACACACACACACACATTTTCAAGACACCATAAAATGTTGGTTCCTAGTGTTTGTATTAATAGCTAACTTGCATTTACTGCTATTTCAATACTAGCATAGACATACAATATTTTTGTTTGCTGGAGGCGGGTGTCCTCCTAGCTTAGTCTGTAATGCAGACTATCTGACTGAAACCAAAATGCAGTGCCTATGAAAAATGACCATCAGCATCTTTAATAGTCATTTATTTTCAGCAAATGGCAACTTGCTATTATTCTCAAGACCAGCCAGCACAGCCAGGCAACAAGCTATAACAATGCAGTAGTGAAAGTATTAATATATATATTTCACTAAAGCTAACCTTATGGTAACATGCTGGAGTATGTACCTGTATAGCCCAACATTTCACTTGTATAAACAATCTTATTTTTGTGTTTACTCACCCTTCCTTGTTAACAATACTAATGTTATTAAATAAAAAGAAATTCTTTCAGGTTGAAATAAGTATTTTGTGATTAAAGGAAAAGGCATTTTCTGTATAATCTTTTTTGTTATAATAGTTAAAATAGGCTTGTTTATAACTCTGAATTACTAATAAAAACTTAAAATTTTGTATAAATGAAAAGATTATTTATTCTATGTTCAGTTTTCTAAATACATATTAATTTGTATGCTATTTTTCTTTCCAATTGCAATAGTGTATATAGTGAAGGATAGACTAAATTCAGTTTTTGAGAGCAACTGACCAAATTATATACCATCAATTATTAGTTTGATCTTAAAACACAATTGAAAATTTTGTCATTTTGGTTAAGCTCAATGTCTCACTTTTGAATTAAAATATTTTTTATTCAGGTCTCCTAATTTTAAGCATTTTTATTTTCAGCGTTTCACACAGTATCTGGCTTCAAATAATTGTTCATTCAACTTGAATAGTTTCTTAGACAAAAGTGGAGTCCAAGGTGAGTTCTGTGCATTGCACATTTCTTTGATTTCTAGTTTACCTTGTTTCTTTTTATTTCGTTTTTTCTTAACACTATATAAAATTAATCAATTGGAATATTGATTAAATTTTGTTTAATTTGATTTACTATATTTATCATCTTTGATTTTTGTACAATGAAAATGTTTCTCTTTTAATTTTTAGCACCACTTGTAAAAAAAAATTGGCTTCATCTTTTACCTTTTCACAAATAAAAGTTGAACTTTACTGTTGTCAATGGATCATAAATTTTATCTTTATGAATGGTTATTTATTACAAACTTCATTTTGGCACAAGGCCACAATAATGATCTGAAAGACCAGCTTGCTAATTATTACAATATAAGGCAACCTATATACATGCAGGGGCCATGAAAAATTCTTGGTTTGACCCACTTTCCAAAAGCTGACCAGATAGCCAAGTCTCTTTAAATTTATTTTTTTTCTCCTTGGTCAAATCAATATATATTGTTGTAGCATACCTACAGATGTTAATGGGTATATCCACACTCAAGTAAATACAGTATGTTGGTTCACAGTTGGATATTCATTGTAGAATTCACTTGACTCACTTCTAGCAGTTGACTACTTTTTTTATGTGCCGCTGGCAAATCTTATATGTGTTGTTTGTGTCCTAAGTATTATCGTTCATTATCAACCTTTGTGTGATTATTCTATTCAGTAACCTTCCTTAGGTTACAACAATATATATATATATATATATATATATATATATATATATATATATATATATATATAAATTGCTTTTATTTTCTTTTATCTATTCATTTATTTTTTCCATATGAAAATGGACTATTCCATTATCTTACCAGTAGCCTATAAATAAAGCAGTGTTAGGTCAGTTTTAATCTGTGCCTGACAATTGCTATATGCATGAAACTTTGAGTAACATCAAGTGGTGAGTAACAAATATATAAGTATTCTAGTATAAAATTTAGTGCTGTTATTCTACAACACTGTTTTATTATTACTCTGTGTGTGTGTGCTTAAGATGAGAATCTGATGGAATGGAATGTATGACAATTTTCACAGATCAGTATCATCAGATAAAAATTTTTATTTCAATTAACTTAAATTAAGTTGCACTAACATGATTTATGTAAAGCATATGTACACTTGATTTTTTTTTTACTTATATTGTTTTTTAAAATTAGATTTGAGTAATTTCAACTCTGTTATTTATCAAAATATTTAATAAAAAATACAATCCTGAGCACATGTCAAGAGATAATCAAGTTATATTTATTTATTATTTTTTTTAATCATTTCACTCCAAGCAAGGCAATAAAGCCAATTATTGAATATGACAGAATATAAGCAAAAAAAAAAAAAAAAAATTAAAGAGAGAACAATAAAAGAACAGGAATTAAGAAAACAGAAGATAATGATTGACATTGCATATAAATTTTTGAAGATCAAAGTTGACTGGAAAGGAAGGTCAAAAGAGTTCTACAAGTGACAAGCTTGAAAGAAGAAACTGTTAGCATAGAATTTACGGTTCATCTAGCCATTTCACCCATAAAATGAAATTTTTCCACTAATCTAGTACTGTGTTCATAAATTCTAGATACCATAGAGGAAAGTTCATCAGGACACTTACAATGAAAATATTTATAGAAAAGGCATATTATTGTGCTCTCATAAATCTATAATGTCAGGTGATGCTTGTGTTATAATTATTTTCATAAATTTATAATGTAACTGCTAAAATAATTCATAATCATCAGTAGTTTTTTTTTTTTTTTTTTTTTTAAACTATTATTAACATTAATACACTACCAAGAATAAGGATAATATCACCTACTTTACGGATAATAAAATATAAAAAATAGTTACTTTTTTTGAGTGTTGCCAATTGAAGTAAAGATTATTTTATAAAACTAAAATTCTATTTCAACTGCATTATAAAATTGTTTTGTATTTTGGTCTTTGTACCAATTTTTAATTTATTTGTAGCATTAATTGTTAATCACTATAAGATTTATATATTGCACATTGTTTAACAATAACAGATAATAAACTGAAGTAGCCTGGTTGCATATTGCCCCCCCCCATGAGATTCAAGGATCATGACACTTGTAATGCATCTTTGAGTAAATTATCTTCACTTTTTAGCAAAATGGCCTTTCAGGTAAAGGAAAAAGTATTCATATGCTTTACATAAATCACATTCTCTTTTGTATATTTAGTTGAAATAAAATGTTCATCTGATGATGCTGTTTGATTGGTGGAACATGGTAGTATAAGTTTTTCTAAATTGTTACCCCCCCACATACACACACACATATATACAACAGGCTGGCTGTTTGTTTACTTAGCATACCCATTTACTTAGATGGCTAGCTAATCCCTGTTGTAAACAGCTGTGTGACACATTTGTGCTTCTTCAATACCTACAGAGCAAACATGTGGTTTATACTACAACTATGTTGGGCATACACTGGTGTGATCAATAGTTGAACAAGAACAGTACATCCAAAAACCTCAGTCATGATGACTTGCAACTTTAAGTATACACTGCTGACTGAAGTTATTGGCACAGTCTGAATATTTTTATTATTATTTTTTCTTTTGTAATTTGTTGAAAATAATTATAAAAATAATTGAGTAGGAAAGATTTTTTCATAAACCAAAGTAATTATTGGTATGAGGTTAGTAAATGTATAATTTTTTTTTTTTTTTTTTTTTTTTTTTTTACATCAATTTTGAATAAATAAACAAATAATTGTATGTTCGAAATGAATAGGAAATTATTAGTATTTGTCATTTTTTTCATCTCTTTTTTTTTTTCTTTTTTCTTTTTTTTCGAGCAATAACCTTTTTCAGTTAAGCTTTTAGTAAATTAACACAAACATCTAAAGAGATATTTTGCTACATGTCATGTGCATAATCTCAAAGACATTACAGATTATTTGACATTTTTGCTTTTACACATTCTTTCAATTCTTCTCCCATAAATTGTCAATTGGATTCAGGTTGAAACTCTGAAGGCTTAGGTAAAACTTTTACATTCTTATACTGAAGATATTCCTGGACTAAGGTGACAATATTTCACAATAATACTTTTATTTTTATTATAATACCATTCTCCCTGTTCCATTTACAGAGAAACACCCCCAGAACCTGATATTCCCTCTTCCATGTTATTTTTTTTGTAGAGATGGTGTTCTTTAGATTGAAAACTCCACCTTGAACTATCCAAACAAATTTCTTGTCATTTTACCAAAATATTTCATCAAATCTGTTCATAGTATATTCACTTGCAAATGCTAAACATTTCAAATGACTAGCCTTTAGAAAATGTCTTATGAGGTTGATAAGCTCACAAGCCCTGCTCTATGGTAATGTTAGCTGTTATAGGAAAATATTCAGCATTCATTCACCAAGAAGCTAGTGCTACTGTCAGTTGAAATTTATTTCTCTTAAAACAATTCTTCAGGAAAATAGGTTCACTGTTATCTCTCTTTCCAGTATTGATAGCTTTCTAACATTTTGTTTGTAGCATGGAATGTCATCTTCATTATGTAATTATTTTCTCTTTGAATAACAAGTGCTATCCGTTTTAGTTGTTACTGTTGTTAAAAGTCCTCAAGTGGTTTCTGTTATTTAGTACAGTTCTTTGTAATTATGTAGGGCCTGTCACCAAGGTTTGAAAAAGGATGATCCTGGCTAAGATATACAGGTTTCATTTGCTCAAGGCTATTTAAGAACATGACTTGATTTCTTGTTACTTTTATTCCAGTGGATTCCACATTATTCCTGAAATCCTTCATATTTCAGATGTCATCATATTCACTGCATATTTTGTATGCCTGAGTTTTTTTTTTATTTTTATAACTCAATATTCATCATTTATACATGAAAAAAATTTGTTTTCTGTTCATCCCATTAATTTTGAATACAACACTTAATTTTTTTTTGTTGTAAGTTGTAGAAAGTTCATCTTGTTTATATATCCATTATCTCCTAACAGTGCCCACTTAAAAAGATTCAATCATGACTATATTTAACATTTTATATAAATTAAAGGAACTAACACTGTGCCAATAATTTCTCTATGTAATTGAGTGCATTTTATTATATATATATATATATATATATATATATATATATATATATATATTAAATCCTACATTTTAGATGCATCAAGGGTGGTCTTCAGTGATGCATTGTTCTCATCACCGATTTCAGTTTTCGCATCATATCGGCTCCAACAGCAACCCCAACCTGATTCTAGATGAGTCAGGCCGCCTCCTTGAAAGCGTCGAGCTATGCTCCGTGACATTGCAAAAAACAGTAATCGTAAAAAACTAGCAAGGCCGGACCTTGACCGTTCTTATTGACATATGTAAGTCAGTGTCAGACAATGAAAACATGGCTTTTCAGATTTCTCTTTTATATAATGGTGTCTTATTTCTACATCCGGTTTTCAATTCCCAGAATCCATACCCAGGTCAGCTGGTATCTTTATTGCATTGTTTAAGTCCATGTTTTATCTTTTAAATACCAATCCCATATCAATCCTAAATTTTAAATACACCTATGCTCATACTCAACTTAAAAATAATCTATACTAGCACTTTCTCAAAATAAATTTGCTATTTTAACCCTATGGTCAAAAAAAAAAAAAACCTGTATACATGTTTTGTCATTTACCGTCTAAAATAATTCGATAGCCTGCAAACAATAAATAACTGAATAATTATGCTATCTACTCAATTAAGTAACCTATTCACATATTTACAATCTAATACATATTTCTCAAAATAAATCTACTCAACCAGTACTAGCATCAACTCCCTAAATTTCCAGACTATTATAACTACGAAACTATATGTTTCTCCCCCATTCCATTCCTAATAAAACTACAATTAGGTTTACATAATCAAATAATACCGCGAGTAAGCACCCAAAAATATATATATATATATATATATATATATAATAATCATAATGGCA